TTTTAGATTATAAGTTTATTATAAGAAACTAGTACAATATATAAAGTTATTGTTTATAAATTATTAATATAAGTTAATTTTCTGACGTGATTGGGTTTCGGCCATTGTGAAGCCCATGGACTATAACTATTTTCTTGGGTAAACACTGTTGTATCGAAAAATGCCGGACCGTCATTTTCGTCATACATTTCTTCTTTTTCCTAAAACAAATTATAAATTTAATAACAATAAAGATATTGACAATCTATGTTCATTAAACTCACATTAATTTGAAGCGTGCCCTCGGACCATGACTTGACCCATCGATCAACTATTACATTGCATGCTAAATTTTTCAGCTCGCTTATGTAATTACTGTCACCTATTTCTATTTCGTTCAAACTTCTTATAAAAGTAACCATTTCATCATTGTTTGATTGTTGAATTTTAGGGCCAATACCGTCGGCGTATTGTATAATGCGGTCTATTTGACGGCTTAATAGTAAACGTGTTTTTAATTTTCTTGATATTGCACTGTTAATAGTACACTGTAAGTCCATAAGTCTATTAATGTTTTCGTTATTCAATAACACTCAACACCCATCCACTATTCTGGATTCTAATACTAAATGTATGGTATCACGGTACAATACTTTGGTTATATTAAAATCGACATTTTGGTATAACATAATGTTCTCTCCTTTTACCGGAGGTGATTGTAGAAATAATGATATTTCATCCATCATGCCGTAAATAATATTTAAANTTCTCTCCTTTTACCGGAGGTGATTGTAAAAATATATTTATTTCATTCATCATGCCGTAAATAGTATTCAAAAATTCTGTTGACATGCTAATATATCGTGAAGGAGTAATAATATATACCGTAATATTGAAGTCCTCCTTTGGATTCAGTCCTAGTTGTAAAAATTTTCTGTCGCTGAACGCAATTGTATAACTGCTAGAGTCAATCATTTCAGCTGGCGGTGTCGGTGCAACATAAACATAACGTTGTTTTCTTACAGGTTCGGCATCCATATTGTTCATAGAGTAGAGTCTTCTTTTTAGAGCTGATGGTTCTTGATGACACTGTGACTTTATCAACGATTTCATGCTCATTTATGCGGAAAAATCACATATTTTCATAGGGGGATCAGCAAATCACAGATCACATATCCCCGTAAACTAACCCATTCCTTCACCACTTAAACATTTTTAACTTATAATTACTTATTAATTAGAATTTATTAAGTAATTTCTAAAAAGTATTCATTTTTTCATAGCCCCTCTTTTTATGTACCCCCCATACTTGTGATATCTACTGTCATGAGAGAGTCCTCTACTCTTAACCTTTCATGGGAAGGGGGCCCTATGCCGTTCATCATATCCCCCCGGCCGTTTACACCGCCCGTCCACCTAGGACAGGGTAAACCTACATCATGTGGGTGGGAGGACTATGCCTTTCACCATATCCCCCCGGCCGTTTACACCACCCGTCTACCTATGGCTGGNATCTCCCCGACCGTTTACACCGCCCGTCCACCTAGGGCTGGGTAAACCCACAAAATGTGGGTTAGGAGGGTATCCAGCTCAGACTTTACACTTCTACTAATACTAATTATAATTATTAAATTTAGTATGAAATTGATATTCAATAATTTAATATTGTAATTTAAACGGAGAAATCATAAAAGTAATAAAGATGTTGTATTTTGCATTATTTTTACGTATATAAAAATTTAAAAGGCTTGATACAATATTTTTCAATAAAACTGTTTGTTACTATAAATAATTAAACTGGACTACAAGGAACTTTCATCAGTAACAAAAATATACCATTCTAAATCAACTTTTCGCGATGTTTTCAAATCTGCAATTAGACTTTTTCTATCACTTCTAAGTTTTAATATTATTAAAAATTAGTATTAACATATAAAAAAAAATGATATCAAATGAAAGGAAAGTACCTAATATTTTATTAAAAAAAAAAATTATGTTGATTTGTTGATTTTTGAAAAAGTTATGGAAGTTTTAAGAAAAAAAAGGAAAAAAAATGACAAAATTTATCGGTTTTTAAATTTGTAATTTTTTTTGGATATTTCCCCCATTTGCGGGGAATGATAAAAAATTTTCAATTTTTAAGGATAATGTCTTCAACTAGATATGATTTGTGATCTTTTGACGTATCGTTGAATATAGATATATTAGATATAAATATAAATATAAAATGATTAGAAAAAAATTATTCTAACTCAAAAAAAAAAGCAAAATATTAAAAGCCACAGACAGATTTGAACCTCGTACCCTAAGCGTTACCCATTAGGCAACTGTTCGTTGCTTTTGTCGCATGATAAAATTGGCTATTTAAGCTAACTCAAATTTAAAAATTAATTCTTCGACTTGGTTGAATTACGTATGTCTTATGAACTTTATTCTATGTCAATTAAATTGTATAATATTCATGAAAGTCAGTGTATTCCCCTAATAAGATATTTTAAAATAAAATAAAATACAAAACCCAGAATTTTATTTTAAAAATAGCATATTTTTGAATACGGTATTTTTTTTTTCATTGTGTAGTATATAAAATAAGCTTTAATTTGATATATGATTGAAGGACGCAGTATTTCCGGAACATTTTCAAAAATTAACTTGAAAAAGTTAGTTTTTGTAAAAAAGTTTCTATTTTAAATCCCCCCCATGAGCAGGTTAAGTGTTAGATTTTCAAAAAAAATTATATCAAACGAAAGGAAAATATCTAAGGTTTTAGTATAAAAAAAAATTATGTTGATTAGTGTATTTTTCGAAAAGTTATGGAAGTTTTAAGAAAAAAAAGTGAAAAAAATGGTATAATTTACCGATTTTTAAATTTGTAATTTTTTTGGATATTTCCCCCATTTGCAGGGAACGAGGGAAAATTTTTCAATTTTTAAGGGTAATGTCTTCAACTAGATACGATTTGTGATCTTTTGACGTATTGTTGAAAGAAATCGGTCCAGTAAGAGCTGAGAAAAAGTGGCAACAGACATTAAAAAAAAAATAAAAACACATCATAGTAAAATTAATACCTTCTCAGCTTCGCATCGAAGCTAAAATTAAAAATATTATCGTGATATGGACACATGTTTGTATAAACTTTATAATAACACCAAAGTATAATGCATTTAATGAATACAATATATAATATCTATATTTAAAAGATACACCAAATAATTATCACCATAACTTAATTCATTTATGTTCAATTTTTTTAAATAAGTACTTATAATATTAAAGATTTTAATAAGAATGAAATGTGATAAATTATTATACAGAAATAATTTTTAAATCAAGTTTATTTTTCTAAAAACTGATACACTAAAATTTTTTATCAACTTTACATAAATTAAGTGGTTCAACTTGTGTTTCAACTAGAACACTTGTTTTATTTGCTTCATCGTATTGAAAACCTAAATTGTGATAAAATTTACTTACATCACATATTGACAAACTAATATATTTACCATAATATTCAGAATCCATTCCAATCTTTTCTGAATCTTTATATCTCCAAAAAAAGGGTTCTGGAAAAATATCATAAACATCTTTTAGGAAGTTGTCCAACTGGACCAATATATTAGTGACATTATTCAAAAGTTCTTTCCTTATTTCAATAATTTCATCATTATTTTTTGATTTCAAAGAATTATTGTAAGCATTATTTATTTTATTTTCGAAAGTGTCTATCAATATTTGAACAATAGTTGGAAGATCATTTCCGTTATAATAAATAAATAACAATCCTAGTGAGCTTTTAATTTTTGAAAAAGTCGTATCTAAATTATTAAGATTATTTTTATACTCAAAATGTGAAACTTTATTCTGTAATTGACGTTTAAACATAAAAACAATTTCACGAATTATATAAGAATAGTAATATTGTATTATCAAATAAACTGCTCGTATTTTTCTATTTCCTATTTTAATGTTTCGTTCTCCAGGTTTAACTGAATGATGATACTTATTCTCAATATTAATAGCAGGCAATTTTAAATATTCTTTCCAAAACTTTTGCTTGAACAAGTGATTCATTTTATTGACAATGGAATTATTCGATTGTCCATTTTTAATGTTACTGCATATGAATAAACAACAAAAAATAAAAGTTGCAATCATATTTTAATTTTTAAATTTTTTTGATAACTTTTAAAATTAAAAAATTTTATGTTAAAACGTAGCAATTAAAATAAAAACGATTTGCTTAATGGTTATTTCACTAATAAAACAGTTTGAATTTTGTTAGCATTTATAGAAGTCGTTTTAGGAAAATAGATTTTATGTATACATTTATAATTTATTTGAAATTTGTATATTTTATTTTTATTTTCTTTTAGCTATTTACACTGACAATATATAAATTTATAAAAATTTCTTATTATTTTGTATGTATAAATATATTTATTATATTATACTAATAATTCATATATTGAATTTTTTCTTTGTAATTTTAACATAATTATTACTATATTAATAAATAGTATTAAATATTACTAATACCATTCTTAGGGTTTTATCGAAATAAATATTCGCTAAAAATATGTATGACAAATCATTTTGTTTATCTCATCCGATAATAAATATAATAATGAAGTATAGTAAAGACTAATTGTAAATAATTGTAAATACACCATTCATTATTCGGTAGTTTATAAATTATTGTATATTAGCCATCAAATCAAATATGTATTAATAAATATTAAGTTTTGAAACTGAACAAATTTTTGTATCATATTTATCATATATATAGAAATGCAAATATTATATATAATGTTATATTTATCAAAAATAATTATTTTTATCTACTTTATTTCATTAACAAATTTTTTGAGATTAAATTTAAAAAAATTATCTTGATATGGACACATGTTTGTATAAACTTTATAATAACAGCAAAGTATAATGCATTTAATGAATACAATATATGATGTCTATATTTAAAAGATACATAAAAAAATTATCACTATAACTTTATTCATTAATGATCAAGTGTTTTAATATTGTTATTATACTGATAATTATACTAATAAACTTTAATGAAATGGAAAAACGATAAATTTGTACACAGAAATAATGTAACATCAAGAACTAATACAAATTAAATTTTAAAACGTCATTTAAATCAAGTGGCTCTACTTGTGTTTCTATAATACGACTAGTTTTATTTTTTTCATCATATTTAAACCCTATATTGTGATAAAAATTACTAATATAAGTATTCCACAAAATAATGAAACAATAAGGAAATCCCGGTTCATCAAATGGATTTGATTCGTATTTCGCATAAAAATCTACCGGAAGAATATCTGCATAATCTTCTAATAACTGGTCGAAATCAACCAATATATAATTGACAATTTTCAAATGTTTTTCCCATATATCAGTCATAACCACTTTATCATTATTTATAGTTACCTTGTAAACGTCATTCGTAACACTTTCGAAAATGATTATCGAATTTTGAACAAGATTTGGAAGATCATCTCCAACGTAATTAATAGATAACAATTCAAGTGAGCTTTTTATTTTTGAAAATGCCATATCTAATTTATCAAGACATTGTTTTATATCTTTTAATGAAAACCCATATTGTACCATACATCTAAATATAGAAAGGATTTCACGAATCAAAAAAGAATAGTAATAATGTGCTATCAAATAAGCTGCTCGTATTTTTTCATTAATATTTGCTTTGGTTACGCATTGTTCTCCTGATTCAGCATCAGCTGTGTTATCATAAATAGTAACTAAATTTTGATACTTATCCTCAATTTTGATATCAGACTTTAATAAATATTGTTTCCAATACTTTTGATTGAACAAGTGATTCATGTTATCGACAAAGGAATCGTTCGATTGTCCATTTTTAATGTTACTGAATATAAATAAACAACAATATATAAAAGTTGTAATCATCTTTTAATTTTTAAACTTATTTGATAACTTGTTAATTTGTGTTAAAAAATTGTTTTTGAAACTTTATAATTTAATTAAAAACGATGGCGTAATGATTATTTCACTAATAAAGTAGTTCGAATTTTGTGAACGTTTTATAGAAGTCTTTTTTAGAAAATTGAAATAATTTTGAAATATTAATTTTTAAATTTGTATTTGTATTTTTATTTAATTTTAACTATTTGCACGGAATGAGATTTATTTTAAAAGTCGAACAAATCGTGTTTAGATTCTTTAAAATAATTTATCATTAGTAATCATTTAGTTTACATAGAAGTATAAATAATAGAAATTATTCAATATGAGTATGTGAATTATTTTAATATCAAATGAATAATTCTATTAATGTTTTGATTATTTTTGATAATTCTTCGAATTGTATTTTCATTGGTTTTATTATTACATTTATGATTTTATATATAAATATATATATTTTATAATCATTTATTGAATCCTTTTTTAATTATTTTAACACATTTTTAATATAATATTATTTAATATCTATACAAATAATGATAAAATTATGGATACAATAAAAAATTCTAAATAGACTAATAATGTCAATATTAAAAGTTTTCACAGTATAATAGAAAACAAATTTAATAAAAATATTTTTTCAAAAGTTCTATATAGATTTAAAATTTAATTAAATTTTTTTTAAGTGATATAAGTATACGATATAAATCAAATGAAAAAATATGTAAAGCGGAATATCTCTCTATTGTAACATATATTGACAAATTCAACATCAGTTATAGTTATGTCATTGTTTAAGTTTTGTGATCTACTTGTATCACTAATATACAAAGTCATTGTTTTTGTCATAACCCACTCAATTACTTACAGAATAAATATATTTAAACCTTTTTTTTTTTTAGTTATCTCTAATCTACACATTATTCTTGATTTATTAACTATGTAATATTTTTAAGTTCATTATGCCCTTATGCCTTGTAAAACTTTGTTTTTTTTAATGGAAACACATATTTTTAATTTCATTAAATGTTTGAGTTTTTAATATAACTTTATTCGTTTATTAGATATAAACATTTAAAGTTTCAAATTTTTGTGTTAATATACATGTATAATACACGAGATATTACAAATACAGGTAGCTAATTTGTAGTAATACAAAAAAAAAATAAGCATTAAAGATGTATGGGGAATTTTGTTTGACCAAGGTTGGATGTTAGGGATTTGGTCAATTCAGGAGCAACGAGGTTCTATCGGGGTAGTGGAGTCCGAGGGTTTAGAACAGTAAAGACAAGTAGATATAAAAAGATACAAATTAAGTTCCTCTCATAGAGGTATTAAAACGCTGAGGTATTCTTGTAGTGGCCGGGGTCTTGGCCTCCTATCTGACACCCAGTCGAAGCGTGATGTTAACTGGTATGTGCTTTAGTGGAAATACTGAGGCGTTCATGGAGTGGCGGAGGCCTCCTCTCAGACACCCACTCGAAGTACATGACCAAGCACTAACTAGTTATTAATAATTAAATTAAATGATGTTTGAAAAATCTATTGCTTTACCATTCTTTACTCAGATTATTAATTCTAAATAATAGGGTTAATATAAATTTACTTACTTCTTTTATATATCTCACTTTCAGATTTATACTTTTCCTTATTAATAAATAAATAACGTATTGACGCAAAAATAATTGTATTTGAAATCGCTATAAAATATACCGACGACAACACGGGGTCGCGGCTAGTTTGTTCAAAATAAATCAAATAGAAGAATCCTGAATTCTTTATTGAATTCAAATCTTCAAAAAGAAGAGAGAATTCTGCTCTCTTGCTGGCACGCTCTCTCTTGCTTGTGTAAGCAGAATTAAGCCTTTTTATATTATTTTTAATTACCCCCTTCATAGGTTGTTGCCGTCAGCGCTTTTAGTGATTTTCAGTTTATTGTGTAAAATTTGAACATAACATGATAATTATTTTTAAGATAAGATGCATAGTATACAATAATCAATTTAACATGTGTATACATATATAATAGCTAGTGTACAATTTGTATATGTTATGGCAGATAAATGAATTATTTGTGTTGTATACAATTGGTATTAAATATAGAGTAATAATTTTTTAGTGATAATGTAAGATGCGTAATGCAGAACATTGTGCATATTACGACAAATTGGTTTTTTATGACATCAATATTCGCAGGTGCACAGCATTATTTTTATCAATGGTAGTAAGGCCATTGTTGTGAGTTCATAAATACTCTAATTCACTATATAAAATGTATATCTAATGATAATCATAATTGAAAATAAACAATCCGTGACTGTGATAGCCATGTCATAAAAACCATTTAGCTACCTGTATTTGTAATACCTTTTGTATTACACATATATATTAACTCAAACATTTGAAACACAATCATATGTAGTATTATAATATAGATTAATTTTGTAAAGGCTTTGAATCAATGTAAAAAACAATAAAAACATCTTGTTTAGTACAAATATGGAATGATTCTTCTTACTTTATTTTATAAAATATACGTCATCTATCAACAAAAACAAGTTTGTGACTTGGTCTTAATTAAAAACATTTAAATCCATAACTAACATAAAAAACTAATTATACTTATACGACTACAATTTACACCTTATTTTTACGCAAAGTCAGTTATTGTCCAATATTCAGTATAATTCGAAAATTAATTATATATTAACATATGTTAATATGCGTACAACTCAATCGTTTTAATTGTTTATGTAAATAATTCAACAACGTTAAACAAAATGTCATTTAATATACTAGGTAAATACAATATATATGTATAGTTGTTTAGGTAAAAAAACATAAAGTCAATTATAGTATTTATTAAGATTTTCATAAGCCACGAATGCAAAAGAAATTTTATAAATTTAAGTGTCGAGATAAAACAAGTACACGAGTTCTGAATAATGACACTGTTAGGGACTACGATTAACTTAATCCACTATAATGTGTATCTAGCAGTTAAGATTTGTCATTGACACACGAGTAGTAAGTTTGTTAATTGGTGGTTCGCCCTAAAGATTTATGCACTTATAAACTTTGTCCTCGTGAACTAGTCATTAACCTAGGACGACCTCAGTATTGTGTTGGCACAAAAAAAATGAATGGACCCATAAAAAAGAACAGGCAACGGCCGAGACATGCGCATTTTTGCTGTAAACCAATGCGTCTCTTTTGTTAATGGACGTTTCTCATTCGGCCGGCTGTAGTTGTTTGGAAATCCAAGTCAATTATTGTGTTAGGAAGTTTACTAGTG